GCAGCAGTCGCCCCACCGCTCACATCCGCCCTTAGATCCGCGTTGCCCGGGCATCGTTGCAGCGGCGAGCAGTGCAGCGCACAACCTCTCTGTCGGCGTTGTCATCGGGGGAGCCCTCCATTTTGGATTCATCCCAGCCCTGCATGCCATGTTTCTGAAGCAAAGATCTTGTTGCAATAGTCAAGGGTGTTTCTGAAACAAAGTTTTTGTTGCGAAGGAGAATCATACGCAGAGATGTTCTTGCAACCTCATCAATGTTTCTGAAATAAAACTCTTGTTGCAATAGTCTGATATGTTTCTGAAACAAAACTTTTGTTGTAATAGTCACCGTTTGTTTCTGAAACAATACTCTTGTTACACAAAAGATCGTACATTAAACAATCCAGATCGGACGGCTCACGAGGCGGCGGATCTTTAAAAGAAATCAGCCGGCCGATCCGTAGCACGCCCCTTTTTCTTTTGCCGGAAACATATGCGTGACCATGAGTCGCACTATCTCTTCTCAGCCAAACTCACGTCACTTCCCACGTCAAGCATCCAGCCCTCGACCAGTCCAGTCAACGTCAAATTCGACTCCCCACCCTCGCGCAGCGCCTCCCTGGCCCGTCGCATGGCCGCCAGCGTCCGCTCCCGGAGCACCCTCCCGCCGTCGGAGTCGATCAACCACCTCACCTTCGACGCAACTTGCTCGGCTTCCACCACCTCCTTGTCATATCCATCCACCGCCACCGCCAGACCCAGCTCCATTTCCAGGAACACCCTGTTCATCCGCTGCTCCGCGTACAGCGGCCAGGCCAGCATGGGCACGCCGGCCATGACCGACTCGAGCACGGAGTTCCAGCCACAGTGCGTCACGAAACCGCCCACGGCGCCGTGCGCCAGCACGTCGCGCTGCGGTGCCCATGACTTGACGACGAGGCCGGTGCCCTTGGTCCGGTCTAGGAAGCCCTCCGGGAGGAGGGCGTCGAGGTCCGGCTCCGGCGGCTCCTCGAACTTCTTGGCCGGGTCGTCGTTGGGCGGACTCCGCACGACCCACAGGAACCTCTTGCCACTGGCCTCCAGGCCAATGGCGACCTCTTTGTTCTGTCTTGCGTCGAACACGCCGAGGCTGCCGAAGCAGAGGAACACCACGCTGGCGGTGGGCTGCGTGTCCAGCCACGCCAGGCACTCGTGGCCGCGCTTCACGCCCACCTCCTCCGACTTTATCAGCGGTCCGATGCAGTAGACCGGCGGCGTCGGGAGGCCGGGAGGCGTGCAGAGCCCGGCGCTGATGGCGTCCACCGCGCGTGGCTCGAGCGAGCGGAAGGTGTTGACGATGATTCCCTGGGAGCGGCAGAGGTCGGGGGACACTCTCAGCGACCATATGTATGCCGGGTCGTCACGGTCCATGAGCGGCTTGGGGAAGTGCGTCGCCGGCAACGCGGGCATCCCCGGCACGTGCACCAGCTCCTCCCCCATCTCCCGAAAGCTGGCCGAGCTCCGAGCATGCAGGACCGGCAAATACAGGGAAGAAGCGAGGGCTTCGGCGGCGGACGTGTAGAAACAGTACCCGGGGACGCCAAGCTCGGCGGCGACGTCGAGCGCGATGCTGCAGAAGAAGTCGACGATGAGAACGGCCCGGGAGGCGCCAGCGAGGAAGCTGCGAAGGTGCGGGATGGAGAGGCCGGCGACCTCGTAGGTGACCGCCTCGGGGTGGTCGGAGTCGAGCGGCGGGACCTCGACCTGCGGGAGGCAGTGGAAGGAGATGGAGGGGTTGACCGCGGTGACGCCGGCCAGGAAAGGCCCCCTCGCGCTGGTGTCGACGAACGGCAGGCTCACGATGACGATGGTGATGGCGAGGCCGCGAGCCGCGAGGACCTTGCCGAGCTCGATCATGGAGACCAGATGGCCCATGCCGGGCGACGGGTACAGCACCACCTGCTTCCGGCCGTCCATCGCGCGCGCCGACGAGCGGTGTCGTATCGTATGGAGCGAATTGTGTACGCTCTGCTCCCGGGTGTGGTGTCTGTTTTGGCGTGTAAGATGGAGATGATGAACGACGGAACGAGAGCCAACCAGTTTATATAAGCGCCACGTAACACTGCCTGTGACCACTTGTTTTCGTTTTATATAAATATAAGGTACTTAGAGTATATGAACTCAACGATGGGCGCCATCAAGCTTCACAAGTAAGTGGCCAAGGCCACTTAGTTAATAGAACGGCAGCTACGCGCTTTCATTAATCCTGGATTTATTTCTAAATTTTTGACTATGCATTTTCAGTGGGAGGAGACATTTTCGTCGACGATGAGGTGTCTATGATGACTTCGTAAATCTCAAGATGACATGCTGTCTCAGTCTCTCGGAGATGCCCATAAAAATAGGGTGTGCATGTGTATATTCATAAGAATAAGTGTATGCGCGTATGTATGAGCGCTTGTGTCTGATGTTAAAAAAAAAAACCTAAGTTGTTCGTGAGAGGTTTAAGCCATTTTTTCCATCGGTCGAACATGCGGAGTTGTTGGCTTGTCGGCGTGGTGTTCAGCTGGCGAATGAAGCGGGCGCTCGGAGGACTGTCCTCGAGACAGACAATCTAGGCGTCAAACAAGCGTTATCTTCCACGGAGCTGGCTAGATCCCCGTATGGGCCTCTCATAATAGAGATTAAGGAGCTTCTTGCCTCTCAGGATGAATTTCGTGTGTGTTGGGCTAGCCGTTCAGCGAATCGCACGGCGCATAATCAGCTAGGGATGGCTGCCTAAGTTCTGCAAAACTTAGTTTTTATTCCTCCCTGTGGTATTCATGACATTATTGCGGCCGAGGCCACTTAGTTAATAAAATGGCAGCTACGTTTCCCTAAAAAAGGGTAAGAAATAAAAATAATACTACACTCATGGGCTCATTATGGGCCTTTTACACAATCTTCCTTGCTAGACTCCCCTCCCTCTTTCCCTGAATTTCAGGCGGCGTGGGCTCTTACCCTAATTTCTTCCAATTAGATTAGCCAGGGTAAACAACCCGTAAAACCCGTAAGCCCGTGAGTGTAGCATTGCTTGAGAAATAAGGGGTTTTTTGATCGCGCAGGCGCCCCACGCCTACCCTGATCCGTTTCTTCCATGCACACGTCCTCTCGTGCCGCACGCACTTGTAACCGTCTCCTCTGCTTGTTTCTCTCCATCAACGTCGCCGGATCTGAGGAGAGGACAACAACATATCTGAGAGAGGCGACCACACGACAAGCACCATCCTCGACTAGATCGGCGTCTGACGCAGGAGGCTTGTGGTCGTCGTGGCAGCTGCCTCTTCAACGGTGTTCCCCGACGAACTCCACGCGTGGGGGAGGCATCTACATGGGTCTGCGGCGCCATGTACCCTCGCCGATGTCAGCCTCGCTGCAGAAGAGGGCTAGCTCACCCACGTCACTGGTCAAGTTGCATTGGAGATGAGGAGGGGGGCAGCCGTGCCCAAAGGAGGCCGTCCCCAACGCCCGCCTGAGGAAGAAAAAAAAATCCATCGAAGGCGAATGCAACTAAAAATCACATGCTTCCTCTCTTAACCAGGAAGTTGTTGGGCCCAAAGTGCAAATGTTCATAGCAAGCAACAATTTCCCTCAAATGACCCCAAGGTTTATTGAACTAACCGAAGCTTAGGAATCGCAACCAATGATTAGCACCTGCACACACATGTACAAAACTTTTTCGGTACCTGCACCACTATCTACCACAACATCACATGCTCATAGATCGATAGTCTATAATGCTACCACATGCACATAGATCTACTCCTATCACATATTCACATATGTAAGCTCGAACGAGTAGGGATGTCAAACTTACAACCATCAGTGAAGTCGTATGGAGGCGCGGAACAGGTTGGAGAAGAGGAGGAAGACAAATCGTTGTTGTCGTCTATTGCTGGCCAGAGAAGATGTACTACTTCCTGCTCGTCCGTGAAGAATCCGTGCAGGACAAAGAGCTCAAAGGGGTGTGGCGGGGGGTTCGATAGTGAGCCAAAAGGGGCTAAATAGGGTGACCATTCGGCGCGAGGTGACCCAGTTCCTCCTGCCACTTTTTTCGGGGAAGCATGTGGGCTCGCACAATTTACCTGCTCGCATGAGCTCGACGCTGCCTTCCCCTGCCCTACACGGCGCGAGCCTGGCTGGGAGGAAACAGACGTTTTGGCCGTTCCTAGCGGGCCTCCCTAAGTGGATGCTAGAATGGGAAGTATTATAAAAAAATCCTTAGAAAAATATTCTTATATAACTCAATCATATGAAGCAAACAACCAACATAGAAAAAAAATCCTAAGGATTCTAATCCTACAAAATTCCTATAAAAATCGTTCAAATCAAAAGAGCCCTAGTTAAGTTCATATGAAGGCCCAGGTTACTTTAGTCTAGTGCCTGTATAGTTGCTTTGGGGTCAAGGCACTGCTCTTCTACTTGGGTTAATGGCTCCCTGAATGTCCAACCTCGCACACTGACGTTTGTAACTTCATTTGAATCCCAACTCAAAAAGAGAAGGTCCATGAGTTTCATAAATTTTAAGTTGCCAACACAAAAAGACTAGTTAGAGCGAGTAGGGCATTTGGTGGATGAGCTCCATGGATCTCGTTTTTCTTTTTTGAAAAATTTGAAATCATATTATATGTTTTAAAAAATTCTAAAACAATTCATACATGTTTTTTAGATATTTTTTTGGAACTCCAAAAATGTGATTTTTAAATTTTTCAAAATAAAGCCCTCTATGGAGCTCGTCCTTCATTTTGCATTTTCGAGTTAGTGCTTCCTTTATACCAAATGATAAGGCATTTTTTTTCTGAATTGGATGCAGATAAATACACGCTTTAGTGTGTTTCTTCGTTTGTTTTAGTCTTCATGTTCGAAATATTTAAAACGTCTTATATTTGGGAAGTGAGGTAATGACAGACAGACTACTACCGTTGTCAATAATCGACGAGACTTGTCACCTCTCCGGAGTCAACGAAGCTGCTGCAGTGAGCAACAGCACGCGCGCACATCTCATGCTCTTGCGATCTGATCCATCGATGGCTCCGCCGCTTCTGCTCCTCGCCGGCGTCCTCCTCGCGGCCACCGTCTCGGTCTCGCTGTCAGCGGCCTCCGGGGCCGCGGTGGAGTTCCCGAAGGAGGCCCTGCCGACCAGCTCCGGCTACCTGCCGGTGGACTCGCGCACCAACGCCTCCCTATTCTACGCCTTCTACGAGGCCAGCGACCCGCTCACCCCGCCGGCCGACACGCCGCTGCTGCTCTGGCTGCAGGGCGGGCCCGGCTGCTCGGGCCTCGTCGGCAACTTCTTCGAGCTCGGCCCGTACCTCGTCGCCCCGGACGCCGCCTCGCTCTCCCGCAACCCCTTCGCCTGGAACCGCCGCTTCGGGCTCCTCTTCCTCGACAGCCCGCTCGGCACCGGCTTCAGCGCCGCGCCGTCCCCCGCCGCCATCCCGCGGGACCAGGCCGCAGTCGCCGCGCACGTCCTCGCCGCGCTCCAGTCCTTCTTCGACGCCAGCCCGCCCTCCTTCCGCGCGCGCCCCTTCTTCCTCTCCGGCGAGAGCTACGCCGGGAAGTACGTCCCGGCCGCCGGGGCGCTGATCCTCGCCGCGAACCAGGGCCTGCCGGCGGGGCGGCGGGTCAACCTCCGCGGCGCCGCCATCGGCAACGGGCTGACGCACCCCGTGGCGCAGCTGCCCACGCACGCCGACTCGGCCTACTTCACGGGGCTCATCAACGCGCGGCAGCGGCGGGAGCTGGAGGCGCTGCAGGCGTCGGCGGTGGCGCTGGCGCGGGCAGCGCGGTGGCGGGAGGCGTCGGACGCGCGGGGCCGCGTGCGCTCGTGGCTGCTGAACGCCACCGGGCTTGCCACGCTCTACGACTTGGGCAGGCAGCGGCCCTACGCGACGGCGGGCGTGGCGCGGTTCGTGAACCGGGCGGAGGTGAAGGCGGCGCTGGGCGCGCGCCGGGACGTGGCGTGGGAGCAGTGCAGCCGCGTGGTGAGGGAGGCGATGCACGAGGACATGATGAAGAGCGTCAAGCCGGAGGTGGAGGCGCTGCTCCGGCGGCGGACGCGCGTGCTGCTGTACCAGGGCATCCGCGACCCCTGGATCGGCGTGGCGTCGCAGGAGGCGTGGATGAAGGAGCTCCGGTGGGGCGGGCTGCACGCGTTCGAGGAGGCCGAGCATGCAGTGTGGCGGACCGGCGGCGTCGGCGAGGAGACGGAGCTCGCCGGGTACGTGCAGCGGTCCGGGGCGCTGACGCACGCCGTGGTGTACGGCGCTGGGCACATGGTGCCGGCCGACAACGGGCGCGCGGCGCAGGAGATGATCGAGAGTTGGGTCACGGAGACAGGGGTGTTTGGCAACGGCGTTTCGCCCGGGTTGACGCCGGCCGGCGCCCAGTTCGCGGCGACTTGAGGCAGCAGGGTGACGAACCGATCACTTGCTCTCGAACTGTCATTCGATAACCAGTAATGATTTTCGTGGTGTATCCAGCAGAGTGATCAAATTAATCGCCATTGGGCTTCTCGCACCCCTGATAACAGAGCTACTAACAAGTACTCCCTCCGTTCTATATTACTTGTCCTTGATTTAGCATAAAGCTGTACTAAATCAGTGACAAGTAATATGGAAAGAAGAGAGTAGTACTGTGGTTCCAAAAGAAAATTTTCATAGGAACAGAGTCGACCTCTTCAAGTTCAATGTGTAGCAGAGGCATGGGCTTTGCCCTGTATAATTAAAGAAACAGAGTCGATCTTAAGAAACATATCTAGAAGGGAATAAAAAGCAGTTGGAATGAAGATAGGGTGTGACTAAGGGGCTGTTCGGGAGTCCACCAGCCCCCTGGATTTTAGGAATCTAGGGAGTACCGATTCACTCACTCCATAGTTTTGAACTAAAACTTCACCAACTCCGGAAGGAGCAGCGTGGAGCGGAAGGGCTCCGAACAGTCCCTAAATCTCCGTCGACCGAGACTTAACCAAGTCTTAATCTAGTGACACAACATATAAACAAAAAGAAAGAAAAAATTAAAAGAAAATTTTACAGAAATGTTAAGACCTCACAAATATAGTTTAAGTCTCAGTCGACTGCCGATGAAGATAACTACTCCCTTCTCCTGGGAGCCAAAACGCCTTACTCTACTAGTGATTACTACTCTGTCCGGGAGTACACCACAGCGTAGCTACTTCATCTGATCTTGTCATGTTAAAGAACATTAACCTTTCTATGCGCACTTACATATCTGTGTACAAGTCCTATGGCTGTACGAATCTGAATGTGTTGAACCGTAGTTGTTGAATGTCAATGAAGTCTGGAAAAAGGCAAAATACACATTAGAAGTAGTGGAAGAAAGATGCATGGAGTAGATGAGGGCCAGGATTAAATGTTCATTTCGTAATCACCGTGAAAAAGTGGTCATAAACCGGGTGTTTTTGTCATAACCCGTATAGGAAAGGGCGCTATCGACCACCAGAAAGATTTTCATTGGCTTTTTCCCAAAGATTTTCACCAACAGACACATAAAAACCACATGTTGGCCGGTCAAGGGAGAAATTTTTTCCACTCAGAGGAGTGCTCCTGAGTCGCTATTGCTCACTCCATGTTCGTTTGTTGAACACTGAGAGAACGGGAGCAAAAGTTGAAGCACATGATGTGTTGTTCCTGTAGTAAGAGCCTAGTATAATTTTTATCTTTAACAAAGTATCATCAGGTTGCTTCTTTCATTATTTCTCTCATGCATGCAATGTGCTTTTGTGCAAATCTGTTGAACATAGAAGTTGCATGACTGTTATATGCATAGCTATATATGAATGTCTTTTTGCATGACAAAGCTAGTTAGGTTCACCTGAGTCGTATGACTACTCTATATAGCTATGAGTTATCCTAGTGGTATAAATCCCAAGTGTTTCTCTATGTTTAACCCACTCTAAATCTCATTCACGTTGAGTACTAAGAAGAGGATATAAATAGAGAGAGGATGAGATATTGGAGTATACCAAAATATAGAAGGGTTGGGGTTATGTTTCGCCATGCATATTTATATTATAGGCCTCATGGTAGCCTTCCTGGACTCAACAGCCAGTGCAATAGCCTTAGAGGTCGCTGCGTCACGGGCTGTCCCATGCAGCAGACCGAGGGTCTTGTCGCAAAACTCATGTTCAAGGGGCAGGGCTCGTGAAACAACCTGCCACAGATGATTCCTCTATTCTTGGATCAGCAGCGGCGTCGTGTCCAGCGGGCAATTAATTACCGAGCTTAGTGCAGGCACGAGGGTTGGCCTTGAGCGGCTGCCCTCACTACTCAACACCGTGCAAGGAAGGCATCATAGGTGCTTCAGATGAGATCAGATGTTCAGATGCATGTTCTGGAGGTGCATCGGAGGTACTCCACCAATAAGCTCGCCTAGTCCCCTGTTCTGGAGGTGCTCCGCTCCCTCTCTTGCTTCTATGGTCGCCGTGGTGGTGGAGTTGAAGCAGGGGAAAGATGGAAGTCCAGATCGGATTTGTGCTCATCCCCGATGGCTGCTGGTGAATGGCTATCCCCTTTATAGGTGCACTAGTAGTATAAATACTAAGCTCTTCTCCTCATTCAACCCGTCTGGCACCAATTGTCCATGATTGTTCTACGGTTCTATGTTTTAAAAAAAACTTGCCTTTAAGCCACTGTTGTTGAGAAATTAATAAGGAAGGTGGAATATATTCCTTCATATACTTTCCTAAAAGAATATTCCTTCATACACCATAGGGTGCGAGATAATCGAGTATAACAGAACACAGCTTCAGTTGTGAAATAGCGTGCTAGGCTGGTCCAGGGAGATGAACACGGTTGTCCAGCCACAGCATTGCAAAAGCATGCTCGAGCACGAGCTGACCCACTTTGTATGCTCTTGGATGAGATGCAACCAACTTCTCCTAGGATCACCCAAGGGACCCAAGATGCAAATGGGAGTTTTAATGGCTTCGTGTACCTGGTCTACCATCACCCAGCACCAGCAGCCAGGCCAGATAAGGAATAGCCAAGACAGTTGGAGAAAAGCATAAAAAAAAGCTCACACCTGACATGTTTGTGGTATTTTCTATGTGGTACACTAAATTGATAAAGGGGTGAGTCACCATCTGTTTTGTACTGGTATGTATCTTGATGTTCAGTGCTTGAACCAAAGTTAATACTCCCTCCGTTCCAAATTAGTTGACTTGAATTTGTCTAAGTACAGATGTATCTATACTTGTTTAGTGTCTAGATACATTCGTGTCTAGATAAATATGGGTCAAGTAATTTGGAACGAAGGGAGTAGTTGTTAGGTCATATTGAAACACAATGATTTCAGTTTGCAAATGTTCATGCAAGAAGTTAGGTAGGTTCTGCTTTATCAGTAACTGCTAACATGACGTCAAATGTCTCAGTTTAGACCTCCAAATTCATGCATCTGATGAGCCCTATGAGGACAAGTTCATCTAGTAGTACCAGTGCTCAACTAAAGGAGTAGACTGCTATGCTTTAGTCATCTATATAGCTGTTACATTAGTTCATCATGTGTGTGGTTCGGTTTGCATTTTCACTGTGTGTTCTTATTAATTAGGAATTTAGGATTGAGACGGGAACTTAGTAAGGTCTTGTTTGGTTCCTTGGGATTTGAAGGGGGTTGGAGGGGATTGTGCGGGATAAAATCCACTACAAGTCAAAATCTTCCTTAATCCCCTCCAAACCTCTCCAATCTTCTTGTGGGAGGGATTAACCGAACAAGCTCTAAAGTAACTGACACTATTACGTGCATCTGTTGTATCATGGCTCTGCCTGTATTACATTGGTAGATCTGTTTCGACAAAGCAGGGGACAAGTAGAGCGAGTGGCTGCGTGCGTGCGTGCGTCGAAGCGACCTTGGTCAGGTCAATCGCTTATGCAGGGCCTGGAGACTCCGTAAAATGTGCAGGCAAAACTGCAAAATCCTGTTAAGTTTCACGAGCCTAGCAGGATCTGGCTGTGAAGGACATGTCGGTTTAGTAAAAGCCCCTCTGCTCGCAAGTGACGGGGAGCAAACAGGGGACTAGCTTGATGCCTTCCCCACAGTGGCGTCTATAACCTGAGGAGAGGAAGCGACATGACTAGGGTGAAATACAAGTACAATATATCTTCATACATGATCTAGCATGATGACTATTCTTGGTTAATATTATTTGGAAGAAAATAGCCAAGGTATTGATTTTTAATTTTCACATAGACATGCGTCGACGTGTATGGTTAAATAAAAACGCACTAGTCGTTATCCTAACACTGACCACTGTGTGCTGGCTTATGGGCCAATAAGTTTTTTGGCTTGCCTCTAATAGCCATCTCTTATACTACCTCCGTCCCGGTGTATAAGTCATTCGCGTAGTTCTAGGTCGATAATTTAACTATCTAAATATGTATTATATGTGACAAAAAATATATATTTACAAACTACATCCGTGTGGAAATCTAGTGGTATACTTTTCATGACATATAACACATATTTAATTCCTCAAATCGATGACCTAGAACTACGCGAATGACTTATACACCCGGACGGAGGGAGTACTAGAGTGGGACTGTGTCCTCGGGTCGCTTCTCCTTTCGTGTTCATTTGCTAAACAAGAGAGTGGGAGCATCAATTCAAACCCATATGAGGTGATACTATAGTACAAGTCTGTTACACCCTCTGTCCCATAATATAAGAGCATTTTTTACATTAGTATAGTGTCAAAAACGTTCTTATATTATGAGACGGAGGGAGTAATTTCTATCTTGTCGAAAAAAAGAACACAATATTGTTAAACATATTGCAGTAGGCCCATAGGGCGCACCGGCCAGAACCTGGCCCGGCTAGATAGATAGAGTTCATCTTGTTGTAACTTCTTATCTCTCTATCTCTTTAGATATTCCTTGTTCCTCAAGATGTAATCCCAACAACTTTGTATGCTTATCAGGGAGATGCCCCTGCCTATATAACACGCAACCGTAGCCTCCAATGAGGTACGACGTTCTCCGATTGTTTACATGGTAATCAGAGCCTCCTTTATCCACTACATCTAGCAAAACCTACCACCAGCCATGTCGTCCTCCTCAAGCTCCGTTCAGACCGCCTCCATGGGGCAGGTCGCCGAGAAGCTTACCCGCACCAACTACGTGCTGTGGCATGCCCAGGTGACGCCGCAGCTGAGAGGTGCTGGTTACTTCGGCTACGTCGACGGGACGATGCCGGAGCCCGCCAAGTTCATCGTCACGAAGGACAAGGACGGGAAGGAGGAGCAAACACCCAACCCTCTCCATTGGATCTGGTTCAAAGAAGGGCAGCAGGTACTTGGATACTTGCTCAATAATCTCACCAAGGAGGTCCTCGTGCAGGTCACATCTATAGCCATGCCGCACGAGCTCTGGGCAGCACTTGCCCACATGTT